TGGTCACTCACTGACCAGTCACACACACCTAACGGTCACTCACTGACCGGTCACCCCCACCTAACGGTCACTCACTGCCCGGTCACCACATCTAACAGCCCTTGAGAAGGTGGGGGTGAGCTGCCTTCTTGAACCACTTCAGTCCTCCTGCTGTGGGTTGACCCACAATGTCCCTCAGGGAGAGAATTCCAGGATTTTGACCCAGCGACAGTAGAGGAACAGCGATATATTTCCAAGTCAAGATGGTGAGTGGACTGGAGAGGAACTCACATATAGGATATAGGAGCAGAATAAGGCCATTCGGCCCATCGAGTCTGCTCCACCATTCATTCAGGGTTGATGGTGTTTCTCAACCCCATTCTCCTGCCATCTCCCTTTAACCCTTAATTACTTGTACCAATCAAGAACCTATCTATCTCTGTCTGAAAAATACTCCACACAGACACCCTGTTTTCTTGTGTATCAGGCACAAGGGACTGAATCCTCCACTTCCTGTGTTCTCTATACCATCTATTGGCCCAATCATCACTTAACTCCCTTCCCCAACACTGGGTTAGTCCTTGGCCTCTCCCTTTGAAGCAGACTCCCAACCCTGTGAATGACCAACCTTGCTCTCTTCCAGTTCTCTGTCTTTAGCTCGAATGATGTCCTCCAACTCCTTCCTCTGTCGGCTGAGGGCAGCCTCCAGCTCCTGGTCACACACAAACATATCTTAGAATGAGAAAGAGGCAGAGAGAGAGATACAATGGCTACAAACACAGAGAGAGGGTGCAGGGACAGCTAGACAGACATGCACCTCAGACACACAAGACAGACCAAAAGACAGACAGAAACATACATACATACAGACAGAGGGAAATACAGACAGATATGATCATACAGCACACATAGACCAGACAGAGAGAAGGAGAGACACAGCAGATAGATATAGAGAGGCACCCACACACACCCACCAGACAGACAGACAGACAGACACACTGATGCACCAAGAGACAGAAAGACATCATAGAGACAGGCAAAGAGAAACACATACCAGACAGATAGAGAGACAGGCACTGCAAACACCTTTTAAATTTTTTTTTTGTATTTTTTTCTGGGGGTCTGAAATGAGGGATAGCTGAAGGATTACTGCAGTTTTAGAATCAAGTAACCTGTCCCTCATTGTGAGGATTGTTTACATAGCTGCTGGTTTGAGCAAGAGTAGGAGAAGGTGCAGATGAGCTAGAGCCAGAGGGCTGTACAAACAGAGATTCAGTCAGCAACAACTCACTGCTTGATCTGTGGTCGAGTGTTAAGTTATCTGCCTTCCAACAAGGAGGTATTTCGTTCACAAGTAGCTGAACAGCCTGGCTCTCTGAACAAGGTGGAGAGAAGTGATCAGTTCTCTACAACCTCAGGAACTCTTCCTGCCCTCACCAGGAAGCTTGAAGAAATTGAGTTTACTTTTCCTTCAGTAGTTGCTGTCAGCAGTGAATTTTAATTAATAAGGCAGAAATCTTTTCTCAGCATGAATCAGTTTCCTCATACCTCCCACACAGCAGTGAAAGCAGTCACAGGAGGCAGATCAAGAAGCAGCATCTGATCAGTATAAGCATCACCTGAGCAGATCCTGTGAACAGGGACCACTGACCTGCATTCCCAGTCTCTGCCTCTGATGATAACACCAAATTTGTGTTCCCTTGCTTGTGTCTGTCTATATGTACATAAGAAGCAGTTCATAAAGGGGATTAAAGGTTTAACTGGTACTGTTATATGCTGACAGCTTATAACCGTTTCCCGACAACAAGAATCTACTTAATTATCACAGACAGTCACTCTCGTTCAGGACTGAAACCTGGTCTGTGCTTTCTGGCAATGTGGATGTGGAAGACCAGGAAATTGGGGAATTCTGCTTGTTTAACAGAAATCTTTACCTTGTGTGATGACTCCGGGAGTAGTGGGGCTTGATTACCAGCGCTACCCGTGTGTGTGTGTGCGCGCGCACGTGTCTATGTGTGTGTGTGTGTGTGCGCGCGCACGTGTCTGTGTGTGTGTGTGTGTGTGTGTGTGTGGGAGACAGAGAGAGAGAGAGAGCGAGAGAGTGTGTGTGTGGGGGGGAGGGAGAGAGAGAGAGTGTGTGTGTGGGGGGGAGGGAGAGAGAGAGAGAGAGAGTGTGTGTGGGGGGGAGGGAGACAGAGAGAGAGAGAGAGTGCGTGTGTGTGTGTGTGAGAGAGAGAGAGAGTGTGTGTGAGAGAGAAAGAGAGTGTGTGTGTGTGAGAGAGAGAGAGTGTGTGTGTGTGAGAGAGAGAGAGAGAGTGAGAGTGTATGTGTGTGTGTGTGTGTGTGGTGGAGAGACAGTGTGTGTGTGGCCGAGAGAGAGAGATTGTGTGTGTGTGGAAGAGAAAGAGAGAGAAAGTGTGTGTGAGAGAGAGTGTGTGTGCGCGCGGGAGAGAGACAGAGAGAGTGTGTGTGTGTGTGTGTGTGTGTGTGGGAGAGAGGGAGGGAGAGAGAGAGAGAGTGTTTGTGAGTGCGCGGGAGAGACAGAGAGAGTAGGTGTGGGAGTGATAGAGTGTGTGTGTGTGGGAGAGAGTGTGTGTGTGAGAGAGAGAGAGAGACAGAGAGAGAGAGAGTGAGAGTGTGTGTGTGTGTATGTGAGTAGGGCTGGGTGTGTGTATGTGAGTCGGGGTGTGTGTGTTTGTGTCAGTGTACGTGAGTGGGGGTGGGTGTGTGTGTGAGAGTGTGAGTGTGAGTGTGTGTGTGTATGTGAGTGGGGGTGTGTGTGTGTGTATGTGAGTAGGGCTGGGTGTGTGTATGTGAGTAGGGCTGGGTGTGTGTATGTGAGTCGGGGTGTGTGTGTGTGTGAGTGTATGTGAGTGGGGGTGTGTGTGTATGTGAGTGGGGCTGGATGTGTGTGTGTGAGTGTATGTGAGTGGGGGTGTGTGAGTGTGTGTGT